AAAAATAAACTAAAAACAAAAGTATTTAAATAAAATAAAATAAAAAATAAAGTATTAAATTAAATTAATTAGGTTATATTTGGGTTAAAAGGTATATTTAGAATTATGAAATTATAACATTCCATTCCATCATAATCTCAATTTATTGTGAATGAATGTTGAAATCATTTGTTGTGGAATTAAGTGGATTGTGAAGATTCATTCTGTAAAAAAGAATGAACCAAATTAGGGAATGTAATTTGGTCAAAAAAATTCAACATTCCAATTGCATTAGATTCCTTCAAAATTTGTGAACCAAATGTCGCCTAATTATAAGGGATGTTTACCGAATTTTCTATTAAGTCTTACATGGATAAAGATATTTTGGCAAGGTCCAACAACAATCTGGAATTGCTATTGACATGATTATGCAATTTAAATTGTATCCACTAATTGAAGATGATGCATATAGTCCATATTGCAAGTTTGTTTTTGGATCAGATGTGAAAATTTTCGAACCTGAGAACAAATTTGATTCGAGATGTACCCAAGAGCGAGGTGAAATCTTGGATGCTTCTAGAGTCTGTTATTCATAATCATGAAATCCTAAGAAAATCGAACATTAAAATCAAAAAATCCATGGAAATCATTAACCTTCAAGTTCCTAACAGATGAAACTCGTTGAAGAAGATAAAGGAAATCGATCTAGGTGATGAGCAAGATATATGGGAAAGGAGCTTGATGATGGGGCAAGAAATCTAGGAAGGAGATTGATGAAGAGCAAGAAATCTATGAAGGAGGTGTATTTTAATGGAAGAAGTCGTGTTTATTAATAGACCTCTTTATAGGACTTAGTTTATAGGACCAAAAAAATAAAGTGTCCTATCTAAAGGCGTTGTAATAAGTTTACATGACGTTTTTTGACGTCGTAATAATTTTTTAGGACACTTTTAATATAAAGCGAAATATTAGCAACTTTATAAGACACTATTTGAAAAATTGTTCTATAAAAACAAGTGTTCTATAAAAACAAGTGTTCTATAAAAAAAATTGAGTTTATATGACACTTTTTCAAAAGTGTCCAATAAAGTTGCTAATGCGACACTTTTTATTAAAAATGTCATAAAAATTTTGTTAAGACGCCCAAGAACGTCATATAAACTTATTACAACACATTTAGATAGAATGCTTTATATTTTGGTCATATAAGTTAAGTCCTATAAAACGGTCTATTGAGACGCTTAGAGATTGAGGACGTCTTATAAACCCAATTTTTGTTGTAGTGAGAAACCCATTTAATGGTTTGCTTCACTTCTTCTTCATTCCAGTTTTAGCATATGTGTGTGTGTGTGTATTTTTATGTTCAAGAGGTGAAGTTTTGGTAAACGTTTTCTTGCAAGTTGCAGCCTTGGTTTCTTATTCAGATATGCATCATCTTCTTGTTTTGGAAAAAGTTTAGGTTGCCTTAAATCTTTGAGAAAGTTCGGGGTAACAAAGGATATTTTGGTTTTATGATTGCTCTTAACCTTTGTGTGAAAGGTAGTTTCTTGTATGATCTAGTTGTGTTAATTTTTTGGTTGCTTGGTGTGATCACATCCATTTAGGTTTTATGAGTTACTTAATGGTTGGAATTTTCTTCCAGTTTTTGTTAATCTCTTGGAGTAAAGATGTTAAGTTATAAATTGAGTGTTCCCATGGTTTATGTAGTGATTGAAGTTAGTTTTTGATCATTTCAAATAAAGGTAACAATCTGATTTGATTTCTCATTTTGAGCTATGGAAGTTGCTGGCAAAAATAGGGGAATTCGCATGTTTGAAATCAGTGATGGCAAAATGAAACAGCGAGTGGTGTGACTAGCCACGCGACTCAGGTCGTGGTAAACATTGTTTTGGCGTTTTTCAGTGTTTGCTTCGTGTCGCTTTAGGGTTACGTGCTTTAGAGCTTGTTAAGAGATAAGGTTGAGTCTGTTTCTCTTAATTCTAATCCGTGCTTATCTTATGGGAGGACATGTTGAGGAGGTGGTATCTAAACATGATGTGGGGAGGCCGACGATAGACCCCTAAGAAGACCATCGATGCAAAGGTGGTGGATGAGTCCAATGTTGAGGATCTCAATCCATTTATCTCTTCATGGATTGACAAGGACTATTAGCATGAATTGATCATGGTATGCAATAGCTATTGAATTATGTTACATTTGCATTTTTCCTATTCTTGTTTTTCTAATTTTTTGACAAAAATGGAATACCAAGGAGTGGAAGAACAAGTCAAAATTCTGTAAGCAAAACCGAAACACTGAGCATAATTGAGTGGTATCCAAGCAAGCATACAAGAGGGTCCATATCCATGTCACAACGTACATGGCATTTTGTAAGTTAAATATCAAAAGTCAAAATCATCATTTGTGTTTATTTGACACGGTTGTCACTTGTTTGCATGTATCTCACGTGAACATCTACTTAGAATACCATTAAGTATGTAAATTTTTCTCCAACATCTGCTTTAATATCATTCACTTCATAGATCGTCGTGAAGACATCATATGATCACGATTTTAAGTTTGAATTTCAGTAGATATTCTTCAAAGCACAAATACTACTCAAACACTTGAATATATCATGACTCTTTTCTTGCATTTGATACTCTTCATTCTATAAATTCTTGATCACATAAGATTTCAGTTTGTTATTGACTAGCAACTGATCAGTTTAAGCATTCAATACGACGATTTGAAGCATCTGTGCTCAAAACTGATTGTAAAAATTAAAAAAAATCATGCCCAACTTGAAATAATATTCTTGTTACTTTTGAACTCTCAAATTTGATCGTAAAGTGAACATGTGCATGATACAAATGTCTGAATCAAATATTAATTTTCAGAAATATTTTTTAGTATGATCATAGCACACTGTTAAATGGTTTCAACCATGGTGCATAATGCACTTACCATTGAAACCGATAAATAACTCTTTTTTCTGTTTATAATTACTTTAATATCACATCTAAAAGAGATTTTTGAAATTTTCGAAATGAGGAACTTTCCTTTGTTACTTGAAAATTCTTACAACTATAAAAACTTACCATACTTTTTGAAGCCTCCAAGTGATTGTAAAATAGATCAAGCATGCAAATAGACTTCAAAAGACACTAAGGGGCCGTTTGCCCAATTGCTTACCCGGTAAGCGCTTACCGATAGGAGTCAACACTATGATTTATTTTGATGCGTAAGATTTTAGTATATTAAAACATATCGAATGCAACAATTTAGTGGGTAAGTGCTTACCTAGGTAAGAGTCATCGTCCTCAATTACCGAGTAAGACTCTTCATCATTCTCATCGTTCTTACCCGGTAAGATTCTTGACTCTTCTCGTGTTTATTTGATGAGGAAATTTATCCGGTAAGTACTTACCAAATAAGTGTTTAGTAAACGGCCCCTAAGAAAAAAATAACGCATGGCTATATTGTAGAAATCAGTTGAAAAAGTAAAACCTATATTATATTGTTTTTAAAGATATTATTTTTAAAACGATCGTTTTATTTGTATTTGCTTTAAAAATCAGTATATTAGTGTTTGACTGAATTAGCTTGCATGTTAATAAAGTTGTTCATGTTCTTATACGTTTATTTTCCTTATAAATAAAATGGAAAAGAAACGTATAGAAGTAAATGGTAAGTTTACATTCAAATGATGGTGTCTTGACAACAATCTTTGAGATTTTTCATTGTCGAAAAATATAAGCATAAAGAAGCTCATTCCACACATCAGGTACACCAGGAAGACACCAATGTATACAATCTGAATAGCTGTTAGGTTTTAATAACTGTTCTTCATTTAGTGCTTCCCATTGCTTCCTATAAATTGAAGGATGCCCTTCTTTTCTGTATTCCGAAAGTTGAGTTATGTTGATCATTTCAATTTGCATACCTCTGGTTTTCAATTCGTCAATAGAGTTTTCAACCACTTTCATCATTTTAGGGTCTGTTCCGCTACCTATATATCCCTCTTTTGTAATCAAATCCGTCTCGCTATAACAATTCTGGTCATTGGATGCACCCCATTCTCCAGCCCTACAATCGTGAACACAGTACAAAGTTTGCAATTGTTACGATACAATTAACATTTATATACACAACTTTAATAATGCATTCAAATTGATATAGTTAGGACTATCAAGGACATTCACGGGTCTCTATACCATTAAAAACTTACTTTAAATGAATCTACATTCTTTTTGCTTTTCGATAAAAGTTGGTATGTAACTTGTAAACATACGTTTAATTTTCAGTTTTAAGATGCATTTATTTGAAGTACTTTTAGAAAATCAGTCTGAAAATGATGTCAAAGAAATTGTTCAATTAATTTTTTTTTTTTTGATAACGAGATCACAACGAGAACAACTTTAACTTAAAATAGACGAGCTTTCTCGATGACGATATATGCTTAAAAAAGATAAATTAAAAAAATTCCCAACATAATATTTTTCTCCCATAAGTGAAGACAAGTTACGACATTCCACTATTAGAAATCAGATCTTCAACAACGACATTACAAACTTTTTTTCTTTTTTGATTTTTTTTAACTACGGTTTTCATATCGGTCGTTAATGTATCAACATCAGATGAAAATAATGGTTTCGAAAAGATTCAAAACAAGAATATAATCGATCCATCTATAGTTATTAAGAATTATCGACGAACATTCAGAAATTCATTTTTGATTTTCTGTAATTTATGATTATTTTTCTACCTCCTACTCATAAAATGAGTATTCCAAGTAAGAAACTTAGTTTAAACACTTTTATAGCGGAGAAGAAGTGTAATTAACTTAATAAGTGTAATGGATGGTTAGATTAACTGATTAAATTATATTATTATGTTTGATTTTAACATAATATACTAACGGATAAACTCCATGGTAAGCAAACGCATCCTATCTTAATGCATTATTCTGAGTTTTTTTTTTTTTCCGAAATTACCTTTGCCCACTAAATGTTTAATCACACATCTCATCAAAGAATTAATGAATAGTCTACCAATAAATGCATAAATTAAAGTTTGTAAGCAAAAAATAATGGGAAAATTGCATCAAAATAGAACCAACTTTCACTTGATTTCTATTTTGGGAAATCAATTTTCAAAATTGTCATTTAGGGGTCTCTATCAAATTTTTTGTTTATTTGAAGGTTTGGTTGACATGTTAATGCTGACATCATCCAGTTCTTTTGCCAATTAAGATATGTCACGTCATATTAATTTTTTATTTTAAAATTAATATTCTATGTCATATTAATTTTTTATTTTAAAACTAATATTCCATGTCATATTTAAAATTGCAAAATAATTATAGAAAAATAACTAAAATTCGTTTTTTTTCAAAAATTATTGTAATAAAATCTATGTTTCATTCCAAATATCGTTTTTTTTTTAAATTCAGATATCAAATTGAAGATTTTTTCAAATATGGACTTCTTTACTCACAATTTGATATCTGAATTTTAAAAAAAGAGATTCGTAATGAAAAATAGATTTTATTACAATAATTTTTGGAAAAAAAACGAATTTTAGTTATTTTTCTATAATTATTTTGCAATTTTAAATATGACGTGAAATATTAGTTTTAAAATAAAAAATTAATATGACATGGAATATTAGTTTTAAAATAAAAAATTAATATGACGTGAAATATTAGTTTTAAAATAAAAAATTAATATGACGTGGAATATTAGTTTTAAAATAAAAAATTAATATGACGTGGAATATTAGTTTTAAAATAAAAAATTAATATGACGTGGAATATCTTAGTTGACAAAAGATCTTAATGATGTCAGCATTAACACATCAACATGTCAACTAGACCCTTAAATAAACAAAAAGTTTGATAGATACCACTAAATGATAATTTTAAAAGTTGATTCCCCAAAATAGGAATCAGGTGAAAGTTTGTTCCATTTTAATACAATTTTCCCAAAGATAATTTTTAATTGTTTTAAATATATTTTAGTTTAAGCATTGTTCACTGAACTACTTGATTGGTTATACAAACTATATATTCAGGACAAAAATCAAACAACAATAATTTATCTTAATTAATCTAAACAGATAAATTCATAGATACAACTTAATACATACACGGTTTAATAGAAAATAAAAATAAATAAAAAACCCTATAAGTTTTGAATTCTTGTAATTTTTACTCGGTAGTGGCATTATTGGCATCTGGACATGGTCTCGCAAACAGACGTATATGTATTTTAATCAAATTGCCTTTGCAACAAGGCTTGGATTTTATGTGGTTTTTTTGTTAATATTTATTTATATTCATACGCGTGTTGTTCTAGTTCCTAACATGTTGATAGATGTTTCATCTCTTAATATTTCTTTACTCTGTATTATTTAGATCAATCACGTATTAAATGACTTAAAGAAACACAATTAGATGGAAAAAAATCGCTACCTTTCATGTGTAGGTGACATGCTAATGAAGAACAACTGAGTCTTGGCTCGATCGACATGAATCTCCAACCAATCCGACCATGTTTTTAGAGCCATTTCATAACTTCTAATCATCTCCACTTCTTTGTAAATCCCATTTGTATCTTCAAATGAACCCCACCTAATATTCATTAAAGTCAATGTCTTAACCTACTTACTTGTATTTTAATTGTAATTAATGTACAACTTAATTATGTTTCTCCAACCATAAACACTTTGTGTACAAGTTAATGCATGTTTAGATTGAATATATGAACTTACAAGACTTTGATATGGGGTCTTCTCCACCAAAGATAGGAATTGAACACAAGTATATCAGCATCGGTCCAAACCCTAGCATGCTTTTCAATGGATTGTGATCGAACGATTCTTTCTGGTAGTTTATGGTTCACTGGGTCATCCGAGTTAGATTCAACTAGCAGTGGTGCCCAATAGAACTCGATCGAAGCATTGTATCCCTTTTTTCATTAAATATCCACAAAAAGGTTTAAAATGTATGATAAACAGGTGTTCCGAACGACTTAACTTTCAGACAATCTAGAATTTGAATTTGTTCGTGTAAAATTTATACGGACGGTAAATAAACTTTTTTGATGAATTTGAAATTTAATTTACTTACAAGAGCCTTGAAGGTGATCAAATTGGAACCATTGTTGTGCATGGATTTGAGATTTGGGTCGTGAATAGATGTATCTAAAAGGCAAACCATTGATACCCATTGGCCTCTATTTAAAGAATCCCCTACAAACACCATTCTCTTGTTCCTTAGCCTCTCTAATAATCTTGTTGCATTGAACCTAACACATAAACAACACAAATTAAACGTTCATTAGCATTTCTTTGAGACGAAAAACGTAAAAAAAGATCAAGAAGTCATCGTCATGTAACTTATCAGCTAGTTTTTATCAAACATGACTTGCTTACTAGCAAACTTTTAACTTATAAGCCAACAATTATTACAACAAATTAAATCAAGTTTACTGAATGCCGAAAATGTCAAAGCGTCTTGACAGACTCCTTTATATAAATTAAGTTTATAAAACCAAATAATTGTGCGTACTGTGTAAAAGCGTTCCAACAAGTTTCAAGGATTCTTTTGGACGTCTTAAAGAGTTTTTCAAGACAATTTTAATATAAAGTTTCGTATTGGTTTCATATGACATTTTTCTGTACGATGTCATGTGAAAAAGTTACGACGCTTTGTTTCAAAATCATTCTAAAAAACTTGTTAAAACGTCTTATAAACTTATTGGAAAACTTTGTAGTAGAGCACGTGTACAATTGTTTGGTCTTATAAACATAAATATTACAAAGTAGTCTATTAAAACACTTAGATACTTATGACGTCCTATAAACCCGCTTTTATAGTTAATTAACTTTTCAACTAACAGTTAGTTTATCATGCAACCGCAAACTAATCAGTTAATCGGTTAGCTTCCGAAACATATAAATCTTATTAGCTCAATTACAAGTTATGACATATATAGTTAGAGAGAGGGGGGGAGAGACCTTGGGATGTCACAATGGTGAGGTTGCCACCTCCATTGTTGATAGCTCAAGTCTTCCCTTCCAAACTTGTTGCAAGCCAACTGATCCGACATGAAGCTACAATCTTTCTCTTTGTAAAGAGGGTAAGATTCGTTATCAAAAACCCATTTCCCAGAAAACAAACTACACTCCGGCTGTGAAGAAGAATCATTGCCGGAAAACGTATCACCTTCCGACACCGGAATCATGTTAAAGGTGACATACTCTCCGGCCATATAAACCGCTCCGACGAAAAACACAGCAAAAAGTAGGGCAACGAAAAACTGAACAATACTGAAGTTAATTGATGATCCCCAGGTTACGGGAACCACATAATGCTGGTTTCTTGCCACCATTAAAGTTGACTTCGATATGATTCGATTCGATGGCTTTGGCGAACGTTGTTTAGTTTGTGATTGGATTTCCAGGTTGTATGTAGGGTTTTATCTGCTATTTAAGTTTCCAACAGTTGGTGGGAATTGATGGAATATTTTAAGAAGTTTCATGAGGTTTTAATTGGTGAGTTAGGAGTAGTGGCCAAGTGGGAAATGGATTGGATTTGAAGTACTATCTTTGTCAAGATAATTATGATCGCTTTTATGTTGCCAACATAAAATTCATATATGTTTCTGGTCTTATATGATTGTTCACTCCTTATTTATGTATGTTTTTGGATTTATGTGATTGTTCACCCCTTGTTCATATATGTTTCTGGTCTTATGTGATTGTTCACCCCTTGTTCATATCGTGTTCACCCTTTGTTCATATCGTATAAAATATATGAACACTTAGCTTCGACGTTATGAACACCGGGTGCAAACACTTACACAAATATAAAGATTTGGTATCATGCTTAAAAATAACACTTGTGTCATATGATAGAAGTAACATGAACATAATGGTTCATGATTCATAAAAATCGGTAACATGACAATATGAAAATAGGTCGTGCATGTACTTTCATTTGAACATGTGAATTATACGTATTAATAATTAAAGAAAAAAGTTATCAACGCAATATGAACTACAAAAAACACAACACATCATAATTAACATAATTTCGATTAAAACGAGTCTAATAAAATATTAATCCATTAGCAAGACATTCGCTTTGGTTAATTTTTTCACTTCCTGAACTCAAACTCCGATTGTCACCATAAATCATTTTAATTTTCTCAATGTTGTCGTTTTTTTTTTTGCAATGAGTTTATCCATAATAGGTTGAACGATACCGAAAATTTTACTACCGTGTTTCGTTCACGAATCGAAAAATCATAAAACAATAAACATTGAAGATCAAGATAAAAAAATAAATAAAAATATCAATATTATAAATGTATATTTTTAGGGATTTTATGATTTTGTAACTCCCCTTTTAATGGTATGGGAGTTACATAACAAATGAAATTACTCAATTACCCTTGACATTAAATTGTGAACATGATAAAAACCTAATAGAAGAATGGATTGTGATTGGTTGACATGGTCTGCAAAGTTAACACAAAAATTTTGGTTAACATTTGATCTTGTCCCTATATATATATGTTGGTTATTATACAACCTTTGACATTTGTGCAACCAATACAACATAATCTCAACCGTCCATTTCATTTGATTAATATGTGATTTCATAGAAGTTTTGATTATAATTAATGAACCATATTCATCTTCCATAAATATTCAATTCATAATAAATGAACTCTCATCATTTCCATAAATATCTCAATTTATTGAGTTGCATTGGTTGTACAAATGCGTTGTGTTGTATTTGAAATGAACTATATATATATATATATATATATATATATATATATGGTTGGGTTCACGTGAGACCAAAAGTTTTTCGTGAGACCCGTAAGATTAATTTATGTTCATTAATCAACTTTATAAGCTAATGATCTAAAGTTGCACGGTGGTAATTTTATGATTATTGAGAAGTCTCGTGGCAATTTTGGGATTATGAATGTTCAAATTGTAGATTTAATCCAAGGGTTGAGAATTGGTCTTACAGGTCTCACGAAAAACTTTTGGTCTCACATGATCTCAAGTCTATATATATATAGACTTGGGATCATGTGAGACCAAGGGTTTTTCGTGAGATCCGTAAGACCAATTTATGTTCATTGATCAACTTTATAAGCTAATGATCTAATGGTCTAAAGTTGCACGGTAACAATTTTTCATTGTATTTTTCTAAAAATCAGCATCAAATTCGTCACAAAATATTAATCTTTAGAAAAAATTCGTCTGTTGTAAATATGTACGTTCATTATGATAAAGTTACTTAATACGACTTGTACATTTATATGATTGATAACTGTATTTTTTATATGAGGACGTTACGATAAATTATTAGAACGAAATTGAACAAAATTACAAGTTTTATCCTTATGATGTTAATTGGGCAACCTTATAAATAGATGGTCAGCGTCTTATTAGTGTTTTCATGTGACATTTTCTGAAATTACAAATTTTGTTACGGTGAACGAAGAAGCTACATAAATTTTCACTTCTAATCTGTAAATTGTTTCATGATGATGACATCGCGTGGTAACCTAGTAGTTTGTTTCATGTCATCTTAATTTAAAACAAAATATTACCTATTGCTGATACGATAAATTTTTCAAAGTACAATGTCTTAGTACAAAAAATAATTGAACATATATTGATATAATAATGAAAAATGAAAATATTATAATAAGAAAACTTATAAAAATATGTTGTTATTTTGAGCATTTAACGTATAAAAACAGGTCCTACAACATGCAATCAAATGTTTGCTACAAAATTTTCCCAACCTTTGTGTGTGTAAATACACACACACATATATATACTATATTATAAAGCATTTGACAAAAACTCTTAAAAACAATTTTTTATTTATAAAGTACTGTTTATTGATGCATATTACTTAAAATTCACGACTACAAGTAAATTGTACATAAGTACAACTTATTAAATCTTTATGTTTGAATTCGTGTAACTAATTGTAGATAAGCATAATCAAATACAAAATAAATATTTCATTTAAATATAAAAAATCTAAAATATAATTAGGATAATCACTGTATTCTAACATAATACTTAATTATTATCGTTATAAAAAATTATATTATTAAATCAAAAATAAATTATTTCATTATTAAACCTAAATTAAATTATAACAAAAAAAATTGAATTAAAGAAATTACACAAAAAACAAGAACTTTTAAATAATTAATTTGATACTAATATCGATTTTTTTTTAAATTATATTTTATTCAAAAATAAAAACATTATCGTTATCTCAAAACCACATAAAATCGTATTATAACATCGACATGGGACAAAATAAAACGAAACATTAAAATCGAAATTTATCTCGTTGAATCGCACGAGTACCATATATATATATATATATATATATATGTGTGTGTGTGTGTGTGTGTGTAGAGAGAGAGAGGGGGGGAGAGAGAGAGAGGACGAAAGTTTTAAATACAAACCATGTAAATGTTGAAAACAATGCAAGTCTTGTATTATGAAACAATCAAGATATCATCTAAGATAATCATGATTCATTTATTATGATTGGGATATTTACAGAATATGATAAAGTTCTCGTTTAAGTCGGTAAACAATCAGATATTCATTAAGATAAAGTAGAGGATTAAAATGAGTTTTAATATTCATATAATTTGTATTAAATGATGTGGGAGTCAAAAGAATGATTGTGGTCTTTAGGTTGTTTTGGGGTTGGAATTGTGGGGTGAAGGATTAGGTTGGTGCCATTCAGAGTTGTTGACATGTCTACAAAATATTCGTTAGCTTCAAGTCTATCCTACACCCCTCTTTCTCTCTCCTCACATACCATCTTTTTCAAATATAAACTATGTATTTTTTTTATTATTCAAATATAAGTAAATAATAGTTTTTGGTTTCTTGCAAATTTTTTATTATTTAAAAAGCGTTTTAAAAACTTGTTAAAACGTTCTATAAATCTATTATAACGATTTCAAACAAGATGTTTTATAGTTTGGTTATATAAACTTATGTTTTATAAAGTATTCTATTATATATGATTGTTTAATCATTCTAGACATCCTATAAAACCAATTTTGTTGTAGTGAATAAACATACAAAAATCCCCTCAACTAATTGTCGTTAGCCACAGCCAACAGGGACGAAAAAAGTATCAAAATGCACACCACAATAACGCTTAATTAACATAAATAAAGACCAAAATCGAAAACCAAAATTTCCAACAAAAACCGTAATTTACTCTCAAATTTTGGATTTAGAATTATTTTAATTTAATTGATTAATTTACAAACCAAACGTAAGATTGAACTGAATAACAAGTTTTAATCATATTTATCTGATTAGTAACACGGTAATATATCGGACTTTCAAAGAAATAACTTTTTAAGAAAAACTTTCAAAGATAACGACTTCAAAACCGATCTAAACAAAGTTTTAAAGAACGATTTGACAACAAAAGTGAAGAACAAAAGTAGAGGTGTGAACGGAAAAATCCAACTCTTTTAAAAACAATATTTTGAATTAAATTAAGTGTTTTAAAAGGTTTCTTTAAATGGTTTAGGGATGCTTTACAAAAAAAACATCTTTAAATTAAAAATTTATGTAACCCGTTGCTTTTTTTTTCCGCTCTTCAGTTTCAGACGTGGAGCCTTCTAGCTAATAGTCTAACCTAATTTCAGGCTTCGTCAATTGTCAGTTCATTGTATCAAGTCGTCGGCTCGAGTTTAGGCTTTAGGCTTCTCATTTCTTACATTGTCATATTAAATTCAATCGAGGTATATCAGATCTTAAAATATTATAGATATTTTACTAAAATATATGTCAAATTAAATCTCTCATATTTTTTTTATATTATTAACCTGGATATCCAACCCGCTATGCGAGCCGACTAATCTCAGGGTGATCATCTGCTTTGCAGATAACCCGGAGTCACTGCATTTAAACCTCCGTGGTCACAAGGGGATTTTAATTTTATTTCTTCTTAGATTTGAACCTGAGACCTCCTGATATTTTTGACCTTTTTGAGTCAAACTCAAACCAATCAAACATCACCATTGTGGTTTAAATCTCTCATATTTATGACCAATAAAATTAGAAAAGCAGTCCTAGAAGATGTAGTCCTAAGAGTATTAAATGCATATATGCAAGAATCCTTTGAGTTGGCATAACAACTAATCATTAGGTTGTAATGTTCATTGAAGTATCATTTTAGGGTTCCTTTATCAAACAATTATTTAAATAAACTTTTACCAAGTTATATAATATCGGATGAATATAATAAGAATCAAAAATCTTACCTGGTATATCTAGACGTAAAATTAATCAATAATTATTTTTAAATTAATATTATCTACTAGAACATTTTTATGTGGCATCATCAATTTGTTC